TTTCAAATCGCCACAAAAAATTGTCTAATGGGTTTAAATCGCAGCTTCGAGGCAGCCAATTGTCTGAGTTGATTGTCTCTAATACCAAATTGTCCGGGTAAACTTGCAGTTGACTTTGGAAAGAATTTTCTAATATTTCCTAATTAAGGTCAAGCATAAATATATCGTCCCACTCCAAGAATGTGAAATGTATAACTAATTGTCTGACACATAATAATGATTTATTTATTTTAATTTATTTATTTATTTATACTCTACCCAACAGCTACAAATCCAATTACAGAGTAGGACAAAATCCAAATATCAAAAATACACAATATTTTACATATTACACATAAATGTAGGAAGTTCAATCACAAGGATACTATATACAAATGTTCACAAAAATGGCAGTGTAGATAAAAAATTAAATAGCAAATAGCAGACAAGACATCATAAGGAATCACGCAGCAGACAAGACATCAGAGAAATATATCTAATTGATCCGCAATGTCATTCGCTTTACCACATGAGCTATACAATGGAGAAAACTTCAAAATATTTGTTCTAGGGGTAGGCAAATAGAAGGTATTGCATTGTCTAGCATTCAAACGTGGGACAAGGAAATTAAAATCATGCAATATATTGCAACAATCAATACGATTGTGCAATATATCAGTCATGAACTTAACACTGCACTTGAAACGCCTCTCCCTAAGACTTTGAAAGCTTCTTCTAAAGACTCTTGTGGATATCCAATCGGTGGGTAGATGCCATTTTCCTTAAAGTAAAGGTACTTCAAAAAACGCAGTTGGATATTTTCGAGTTTGTCTATCCAGAAGCAGTAGGAGGGCTGCCAAATAATTGCCGCATATTCAAGCTTCGATCTTACAAGTGAGTTATATAGAAGCTTAATTGTTTTAATAACCTGCAACTCGCAACCACAGCGTATGACGAAGCCCAGCTTTTTGTAACTCTCTGCAATAATTGACCATTGAAGCAATATTTACTGTTGAAAATGACACCTAAATCCTTTATTTCATGCAATCGATTAAGGGGCACACCACCAATATCATATGATATGATCGACTGTGTCTTGTTCGTATAACTGACCACATTGCACTTTTCAGCATTCACTGGCAAACTGTTTTCCTGATTCCAGCAGTTGAGCATGTTTACGTTATGCTGTAACTTTTCAGGTCATCCGCATATAAAAGAAAAGTGACGGACCCCTGGGGAACACCTGATGCAATTTTATAAGTGTTAGATTTAAAGCCATTGTGCGAAACAAAAGATACTCTGTTTGACAAATAAGATTTAACAAGCAGGAGAAGATGGCCAATGACACCAAAGTCAGCTAGATTATCAAGAAGAATGCCGTGATCTACTCGGTCAAAGGCATTTGAGAAATCAGTATAAATGACTTGAGTACGAGAATCTATATTTCCAGATATATACTGAGCAGAGCAGAATAAGTTTGTCACAGTTGATCATTTTTTCATGAAGCCATGCTGTTGAGTTGATAAAGTATTATGCACATGCCAGTAAACTGCATCATATACATATAAGAAACTCAAAAACCTTTGAAAAGTTGTTAATTATCGTGATTTGTCTATAATTCTCAATATCGGCCTTGTTACCCTTATTTTTAAAAATAGGACAAACTTTTGACACTTTCCACGATGATGGATATTTACAATTATGCAGCGATAAGTTGAATATCGTTGCTAAAGGCTTCGCAAATACAGATGCACAGTCTTTCAAGCCGGAATGCCATCTGGACCAGAAGTTAATTTAGGCTTTAGTCTTCTCAAGGCATCATAAACCTCATTCACATTAAATTCAGTCACTGTTAAAGGACTACTTCCAGTTGACTGAGTGGAGTTGGTTTTGCCAATTGAGCTAGCAATAAAAGATTTACTGAAAAAGTCAGCAAAGCTGCTTAGAATATCTTGAGGCTCAGTTATTTCCAAACCGTTATAAGTAATATTCTTAGGTATAGACCCATGACCTCTTCTGCTGTAGACAAATGACCAAAACTTTGACGGCTCTCGCTTTATGTCATCTTCAGCTTTTTTACATAGTCTTTATAAGCAATATTGATATCCTTTTTAATTTTGAGTGTCAAAGCTTTGTAATCATGCAAGGTCATTTCATCAGAATTTAACTTTAACCTCCTAAACAATATCTCCTTAGTTCTGATATCCTTTATTATGGTACCATTAAACCAAGGCGGGAATTGTCTACGACATCTGGTGGTGGAGTACTTTGGGACACACAAAGAAAAAAAATTACATTCAATGCAGCATAAAATTGTTCACACGCTTCCTCAACATCATGAAGGCTATCGAGAAAGTTCCATGTGTCTGTCCATAATTCGAAATATACCCTATACCAATCTAGTTTCTGGCTGCATGGCCTGCTCCTAAAGCCAAAAAAAAGCACTGCACATAAAATTGCACAAAACAATATCTAAAAGTCTCATGTTAGAATTGAAAACGTAATTATATTGCTCAAGAGAATAAAAGATGCAAAAGTTAAGCAAACTACTAACCACAGTAGATTCCTCACCACTTAGCACATATGACGCATAACTAGAAATATAAAAATCACCCAGAATCAAAATATTGGCATCATGCAAGGAATGTATTCCACAGATTAATTCAAAAACAGTTTCATATGTAGAAAGAGGTTTCGTAGGTGGGATATACAACACCAAAATGCATAAACTTGTTTTCCCAAATACAGTTTTCACTCCAAGAATATCCACAGCAATTAGGTTACATTGCACATCTAAACAGATTGAGAAAAATTTATCCGTGATTGCCAAAAGTATGCCACCTGATGCTTTAAGTATTCGATGGCAGCATAACCGTTAGTTCAAGTTTCAAAAACTACATGGCTACTAACTTACAAAAGGTTGTACTAAAGGGGGCGTGAGTAGACCATGAGTCGACTATTCCGCCTCGTCCGATTAGCCTCATCAATCACGGTTTATATTTTTGGCCATGGATTGGATTACTGCGTTAACATTGTTGAAATGACGGATATAGAGGAATGAGACGTAGCAGGGGGGATTCTCCCAAAGGACACGAGATTCCAAGGCAAAAAGTTATGCCTGATTGATAAGTAATGGTTCATTGATTTTCTCAAAAATACCTGTCTCTGAACTAGAGATTTAACATATCGGAAAAAACGGGAAAAATTAGAAAAAAAGCAGGTTTTTTTCCTTTTTTTCCAGACCATGGGAAAAATTGTAAAAAATGGGAAAATTTAAATATTTTTTAGTTGTGACTTGATACGTAAAATAGGTACCAATTTTAAAATTTTTTAAACATATTTTGTAAAAATGAATACAAAAAACATACTTTAATAATATCTATTAATATCTAAGATATAAATACATACATGTTTATAGGGTCAAATTATAATTATTATCTAATAATTGAAAGTATCAAAAACAAAGCTTCAAAGGTAGAAAACACATTATTTAACTAAAGCGCTCAGAGGTATATTTTCATCTGAGTTTGAGTTTGAATCTTCAGACCAAGCATCTGATTTAGACTCGACCTCCGCTCCGTCTTCATGGACGGACAAAACAGCATAATCTTTGCCAGTCTCTTCTAAAAGTGGAACTGGTCTAGCATCGTAAATGAATGTCTGTTTTTCGTTTATAACCAAATTAGAATGAATAATAACCAGCTTCTGAATTTTATCCTGTGATAATCTATTTCTTTTGCTAGTATGTATGAGGCCGTGTAAAGACCAGTTTCTTTCTGAAGAGGCGGAAGATGGCGGTCCATTTAAAATTCGGGAGGCAATTGGCATAAGTGGCTGCGTTGTAGACAAGCCTTGCCACCATATAACGGGATGAGTTCTATTCGCACTATCCCATAAAGAATTTCGACTAAAAAATCCAGTTTTTGTTCTAAATTGGGCTAGATTTGCCACCACCTTCCCTACATCTAGATTTAGTGAACGAGCCATTTCAGAAATGAAGTCTATTGCTTCCATTAGTTGGTCTTCATTCAATTGTTCTCCTTTAAAGCGAGCATCAAGAAGATTGGCTGCAAAGTGAATCGGCTTAGAACAAAATTCGTAGCGTTCTTCAACATATTTTAGCAAGCTTTCGATAAGAGAACTAGTTAGGTCAACTTGTTGGGGAATATCTAATATTGTGTCTTTTATATACTTAAAGGCAAAGGGCACTTCTGATAATATAGATCTATCCGATTCTACTAAATTTATCGATTTTGATACAGGATGCAGGATTTGTTTAGTATATTGTAGGTTTTGCCAGAACGCATCATCCAATACAACTTTTTTAATATTTTGTTTTACATTCAGGTTTTCCACGAATACAGTTCATTGCAGAGCTTCCCTATTTCTTAAAAGCGAATCAACAGTTATAAACATCTTGTTTTTGCAGGTAATTTGAGGGAAATTACTTTACCTTTGGGTATTTTTCGGCCTGTGCTTCTTTAAATGCTGCTTAAAATATTTACAAATATTTTTAGACTCTTTACTTATTTTTTCAAACAAATTTTCTTTCATAAAGACCTTTAGTAGCAAATTCAGAGTGTGAGCTGCACAACCAACACAAGATATATGAGGATATGTTGTATTTGTAATATGCCAACCTGCTTTCATATTGCTCGCATTGTCAGTCACTATAAAAAAAAATTGTGGCCCTATTTCTTGAATAACTTTGATAAGTTCATTACTTATATAGGTACGTTCCCGTTTCTTTTGCAGTGCCACGATGAACAGTTTTGTAAAATAAAGGTATAGGCGTGCATATAACAATATTGATTAATCCATCTCCGACTATATTTGTCCAACTATCTGTTACTATTGATAAACTATCGGATTCAGAAAGCTTTTGACTTCGGTTTATCTGTACACGTTCATACTCGGAATTAAGTAAGTTTGTTGACAGGGCGTAAGGGCTAGGTATTTGGTATGACGGTCTTAACATTTTAAAAACCTGTTCCCAATATGTATTTTTTAAAAGAGAAAAAGGAGCACCAGAAGCATAAAGAGCCCTAGCTAATGCCTCATCAATTTTAGAAGACTCTGAAACAGCTATCTTATCGAAAAACCTGCTCAATGTTTGTTGGCAGCTAGCTTTCTTGCGTTTTACTGATGGTAATGGAGATTCGGAAGATTATGACATTGATGACGTGTCCTTTTTGCTAGTTGAAGCGAGACTGGTATCTTCTAATGCATCTAGCAGGATATCTTTGTTACTTTATTTTTCTTCTGACGTCGAAGGCTTCGAACTCGATTGTATTTCATTGCCATATTTTTGTTTAATTTCCAAAGGACATTTTGAACATTGGTTTAATATATGATTCGTCATGCGAGTTGCGTTTGGAAAGGCGTATTTAAAACAGCAAAACTTACACACAGCCTTGAATTTCTTATCTGTTTTTTCAATATCAAATAATTGCCAAATATCTGAAGAAGGTCGAACCATATTGTCCTGCAACAAGAAAAAAATACATAAATAAAATATCTTGCTGCAGTTTATCAACTGATCAAATTCTTGTAATTTAATGAGTATACAGATAATAGGAAACTGAAATCCCACCTTGAAAACACCTAAAGATATTCCAAATTTAATAAAATATTCACTTACCAGAAACCAAAACAAACACTTGGGTCAACAACACTAACAATCTTCAGAACAAATACACTCAATTATTACAGCAAAATTTCACTTTGTGTTATTTATTTACTGCGCTTATGATAAGGCTAAATTAAAATGCGTGCTTTAAAATAAACAAGACGTGTCAATATTGAAGAATCTCATTCTCAACTGAACAATTCAGGAATACGGGGATTTAGCGAAATGCCGTGTCGCTGTGCGTGATCGGGAATTAACCGAAAGCTGTAGTGGTTACCGAAAATCGTCGTGTATTTACCGAGAACTAATCCTTCAGAGCCGTAGCTTGCGGTTTTGATTCAAATTATTTATTGATTTATATTAATGGAAAAATCAGTAACCAGAATACTTTTAACTTGTATATGACAAATTTCAATTTTTCCGTATTTTTACTTTTTTTCCTCAATTTTTCCGGAAAAAAACAGGTTTTTTCCGGCACCCAATTTTTCCGGATATTTTAAATCTCTACTCTGAACTGTAGATAGCAGTGGTAGAATATTGTGCTACCTGCGACGTTGTCAGTGTGTGTGTATTTCAGTAAATCTACACTGAGAAAACGGTGTCAATTAATTTCGGCAGAATTTTCATTACGCAAAATACATTTTTTAATTGTTCTAGTTAAGTAAATTATTCGGATTAATTGAATCGAATTTTGGAAGCAGTTTAAACTCTTTAATTAGTTTAAATAATTTTGTTTATGTTGAAATGGTACATTTAAAACAATCAAACATTTTAATAAAAACACTCATACTATTTATTTGAATCGCGGACTCGGTAGGAATCGGCACTTCATTCTTGAATGATAGGCTGTATGCGACAGGCGATGACGCGCTCCGAACTCAGCAGTTTCATTTGTGATTATCGCGAGGAGCTTCATATTCAAATGTTGCTGTTGTTGGTGAAGTAGTTGTGAAGTGAAACAATTATGGCGATTAGATGAAAAAAGGCGGTTAGTGACACATAACCATGTTAGAATATTTCTTGAACTCAATGAAACACTCTATATAAGGAAGTTACTGCTGACGTGACGGAATGGGAAGAGCTTTGAAATTTTATTTAGGAAGCCATATTTATGTCAATAATGCATTCATTTGGTATGTGCTCAACTTAGGTTTGATGTGCTTCTATTTTGTATTGTATGTATAGGATGTGGATCTTCCTGTTGGTGCTGACTTTGTCTATCTAAAAATATCCTAGTTATTTTCAAGTGATGAATTCGTTTATTTAGGAAAATGCGTTGAATTTGGGTGAGTGCAATATTGTATTATCATTATAAATAGAAGAACGATTTTTGTATACATGATCACGTGGCCTTATTCAGTTCCAGCTATCCCTCTCCATACTTTCTGAATTTAAAACAAAAAAGTGGTTCAAGTGAATGCTGATATATTATAACCTGCTTCTGGACAATCAGACCAATAATTGGTAAAACTTGATCCCACTCAGTGACATTAGAAGTGTTGCACCCAGAAAAAAAATAATTCCTTCAACTTGATGTTTTGGTAATGAGGTAGTCTTACATCAAAAATGAAACGAAATTTTATTGAGAAGTACTAAGAAAGTTGAGCGACCCCGCAGCTGAATACATTCCTGTATACGTCTAGGCACCGACAAGATGAGATCATCGATGTCAAGTTGTGGCACTTCATTCCTGGCAACCCGAACTGTGGCGGATGGTGGAAGTGGATTGTCTCCTCTCCATCATATCTGGTGCGCCTATCTTGACGCTCTGTGGTACGCCTCGGTGGGCCAGTTGGCCTTCTTCGTATTCCTCTACCTTCTTCTATCCACACACGACACACACGCATTACCGTCATTGCAGTATAATTAACACGGCGGCCAATTTCGCGATAGGACAAATCAACATCTCGATAGGCAATACCGCTGTCAACATGGTGATAATCTGGACGTCTTCGAACTCGGGGCATTTTGCTATACTTAATACTAGTGAATGAAAAGGCAATAACTAAAAATATCTGTACTGCTCAGCTCTCAAAAACTGCTTTCTTCACAAAAACTAACAGATAACATTTTAGCAAAAGTAAACAAAAACAAGGATAAAACCTTGGCATTGTTGCCAGAGTATGCTTTAAATATAGTCACTATGTTGTCAAAAAAACTAGTTGAAGAAATATTTTTTTTTGTCACAGTCACTAAGTATAATAAGTTCACAATTAATGAAAATATTGAATTCTTTTAGGGTTACAAAATTCAGAGGCTTTTATTTCAATTATCGATATCAAGTTTTCCGAATTATTTGATATCTTAGACTTGTCAGAGCAGTTATAATATCCATCATTCAGTAAAATGCTATTTGGTTTCTTAAATTCCAAATGCTCTCCAAATATCCTCTTAAATCTAAGTAACCTGAACTAGTTGAACAAATTTAATGAATTTAATTAAAATATCTTACTTGGAGCAGGTAAAGTTATTTTAATTGTTGATTAATTTCATATGAATACTCAGTCTAAGTAAACGGTTCAATGAGTTCAGTCAAATGATTGTATTTTGGTTTAACAAAACTAGTTTCATATATTCAAATAAATTGTTTTAGAAATCGTTATAGTTAATTCAATATTTTAACTGGCCTTGAGATTTTAATTGATTTAAATAATTTTTTTTCATATTGTACTACTTATGGATATTGCTCGTAGAGCAAAATAAAACATACATTTAAAGGACAATTCTTTATTTAGCTGCTTTCAGGACGTAACACGCCTTTATTTGAAAACTTGAGATTAAGAGGCCTCCCTATCGTTAAACTTTTATAATCAGAAGGCTTGTTTTAAAGAATGTATATTTCATTTTACTAATTACTTGCTTAAATTTTTGTGATGTCAGATAACAAATTTTATAACCTCTATATAATTTTTATATACATATTTTGATAATAGGTCCCTATAAAGCTTCTTACTTTATTATAAAATTTCTATTGATTCTCTTGATTATATCTATTTCTATGGATATGATCAAGTCGAAATATGGCTGCGATCGCCATATGGATTTAAACTGACGTTACTAGGGTGAGCGGATTGGATACCCATAGTACAGGGGTAACTATGGAAATTATATATCGCCATTCTGTGACAGCTGCCATTTTGGATTTGGAATGGCGTCACGTTGTTTGTTATGTTGCTCTCATTAAGCCCTTTAATCTAATACATATATGGGTTACTATGTTAATTATAAATGCCGCCTTGGTGCGGTCGTCATATTGGACTCAGAATGACGTCACTTTTAACTGTGTTTTTGTTGTCTAGCGCTTTCATTTGATACCCATATCATAGACGTTACCACAGAACTGATGAATCGCCATTTTGTAGCATCCGCCATACTGGATTCAAAATGACGTTAGTTAATTCATTTTGTATTTTCACGACAAGCAAATGTGTGTACAAAATTTCATCTCAGTTGGTTAAGGTTAACATGTTCAAAATTCCGTTCCAAGATTTGTCCCACACATATCAACAATGAGGCCAAGATAAATAAAGGCTTGTAAAAATACTCACGTGTATCATCGTATTTGATGTGAAACAGCTCCGAGAAACACTTGACGGTAGCAGTTTCATTGAGGGGTGTCGGCGGCCAGCAGAGGACGCTGTCGAAGGCCACCCGGCAGAAGCCCTCGGGGTGAGACTCTTCCAGGTATTGAGACTCATCCGCGTATATCGTACGACACTGCTCCAAGGTCACGTTTGTCTTCAAAATGTCCTCTTCTGGATAGGACACGTTCATAGTTTGAGGCGAGTTGGTGAAGGCTGCTAACGCCGCGATTTGTGGGTAGATAGCATCGTGAGAGTTTTTGGAGATATTCGTCTTCTTTGATATAAAATACTACCAGGGCACTGGGCGGTCACCTGAAACAATGAGAAGTTTTATAATCATGTGAATGCAAAACTGTGAATATCGGAAATTGTTACTACCATATTTTTGATCACTTAGAGTGTTCCAATCAAATGTTCAACTATATATTCAAAATAATGAGGATTACTAAAATATCGATAATTGTAAAAACTATATTTTGCGAGGCTTGAGGATTCCGAAGATGTGTAATTATTTGGTAGACAATATTTTTTATTTTGCTAATTTTGATGGTATAAATGTGGAAAACTTATTATCTTGGCAACACTAAAATTCTTGAGAATATTGATTTTTTTTAAAAAATATAGAATAATTTGGGAATTAAACCATGAATCACTAAAAAACCTGAAAGCTGAGAAGGAAATATGTAGAATTTTTTTAATTGTGGGATGAAGAGGGGAACCCGGATATCTTGCGGCCAGAAAAGAAGACTGCCACCTTTCTGAAAAGTTTCTCTGGGAATCCATTGGAGTTTGCATAAGAGGGCAGCATCTTACATATGATCGAAGGCTTTTGTGATATCAATAGCAACATCGTCATCATATGACTTAATGAATTTATTCCACAGATGCGTGACGTAAGCTAGGAGGTCCCATCGATTACTGGTGCCGGAAACCATACTGCCTTTTGTAAATCAAGCAGCGATGCTTAAGATACTCAAGAAGCTCCCGTTTTATACACTTCCTTATCACCTTACTTATAACAGGTATCTATATGGCAAGCTATACTTATAACTACTTATTTTTCCATACATTTTCCATATATTTTCCATAATTTTTTGTATATAAAGTTTGATTGCCAAATTGACATAATATACTTAGTAGGATATAATTTTAGATTACCTTATCATTTACCAGGTGCTTTTTTGTTACCATTATTTACCCTCGAGGAAAAGTTGCTTCTCAGTTGGTCATAGATGTGATAAATGATGGTTACTCGGGTTGGTGTAAAAACAT